AAACCCTCTCATTATTGGAACCTTTGGTAACAGGAATGCCCAGAACATCGGCTGCCGTCGAGCTTGTTTTCCTGGTAGTCTAAGTAAGCCCAAATGGTCATGCCCAACACAGGTCAGGAGCAACACACCTGCCACTAGCCTCAGTCATAGGTTTCACTAAGGCAGAAATAACTGGGATCCCTATTTTCTATAGGACTGGGTGGAGAGAATTTAGGGTGTTCCCAGGTATGTGAAGTGGCTTGGGGGGGCGCAGGTTTTGAAGATCACACAGTCTAGCTACTCCAAGCACAGGTCACACGCATCTTCCCCAGATAAGATGCGTGGGGAAGCAGGGAGGTGGCCCAGCTCCTTAAGGCAGCAGTAGAGCAAGCTTTGGAATTGAAGTTTACGCCCTGGAATCTATGTAAAGGCTGTTCTCTGATGCTCCTGCCTTGACAGGCATGTAACTCATAACATCTGAAAAAACTGGCTGGCGGAGGGGATAATCCTCTGAAACCAAACCCATACTTTTCAGCTGTGCTTTTTTTTTCCCCCCCTCAGCTCTTTTTCTTTTAGCCTTTGCATGCATTTATCTATCCCATCCACCCACCCATCCCATCCCATCCATCAGTCTGCCCGTCCATCCATCCATCCTTTGATTTTTCCAGACAGGATTTCTGTCCTGTAAACTAGATTTGCCTGCCTCTACCTCAAGAGCGCGCCACCATCGCCCCGCTCCGGCTTAGCCTTTGTATTTAAAACAAACAAAACAACAACAAAACCTTTTAATGAACTGTAACTGGGCTTCATTAAAAAAAATTAGGGTGCGGTAGTGGTTCTCAGAGGACGCACCACCCCATGCTTACTTCACCTACACCAGCTGAGGCAGGACCGCCTCTTCCGACGTCCCGAGAGCTGCTTCCGTCCCGCCTCCTCCCGGAAGCAGCTCCTTAGGCCCCGCCCCCTACAGTTTAGTTGGCTCCCCGGCACGCGTGGATCCAATGGACCACATGTGTGAGGAGAGTCCCGCAGAGCACTCAAGCAATGAAGAGGAAGACCTTGACTCCACGGCGGCAGCACCCCGGATCCATGATGCCCCAGAAGACATCGTGTTGGAAGCGCCAGCTAGTGGCCTGGCGTTCCATCCAACCCGAGACCTGCTGGCAGCAGGGGACGTGGACGGGGACGTGTTCGTGTGAGTTGGGTATAGGGCGGAGAGTCTTAAAGTTCCTCTGGGTTCGGGGCAGGCAGTGTGGCGGGAAGAAATTTTGTGAGACTCAGCCCGACTCGTTCAGTAACATTGCTTGTGGAGTAAGTGTGCTTGTGGAGGCCTCAGATTGATTCCACATCCCTCTCTATCTTCTTTTTTTTTTTTTGGGGTGGGGGGAGGGAGAAGCAGGTTATCTTTAAGACAAATTATTTTTATTTTATGTGTGTTGGTGTTTTGCCTGCGTGTATGTCTATGTGAGGGTGTCAGATCTTGGAGTTACAGACAGTTGTGAGCTGCCATGTGGGCGTGTCTTGAGCGGGGAACGCCACCATCCTGGATAGTCTTAACTAGCTAGCTAGCTTGCCCCAGGGATTACATGCCTGCCTGCCAATGTTGGGGTTAGAGCTGGCCTCGTTTTTCATAGGTTTTGGGTATCCCAGAGCCGGAGGCAAGCACTATCCACTGAACCATCTCCCCAGACCCCCACCTCTTTTTTTGTTCCAACTTATCAGCACGGTGACATTGGTCAGAATATACAGTAATTAACTATGTCTTTCTCTAGCTTCTGTGGACCTTGCCTGATCTTTACCTTTCAACTTCTGGAACTGGATTTTTGTCAATAGTTGTTTTCCTTTGAGACAAGATCTCACCATAGCCCTATGAGTAGTCTCAAAGTATCCTCTAGCTTCAGTCTCAGATTTGTTTTGTTTTGTTTTGTTTGTTTTGAAACACGGTTTCTCTCTGTAGCCCTGGCTGTCCTGGAAGTTGCTCTGTAGACCAGGCTGTCTGCCTCTGCCTCCAGAGTGCTGGGATTAAAGGCTTGGGTTTTTCTGTATAGCCCTGGCTATCCTGGACCCACTCTGTAAACCAGGCTGGCCTCGAACTCACAGAGATCTGTCTGCCTCTGCCTCCCAGAGTGCTGGGCTCACTGGGTGTAGTGGCGCACACTACACCCAGCTCAGAATTAAGAAAATAGGCACTCACCGATACACCCAGCTTGCCAAGCATTTCTGGGCCATCCCAGTGGTCCAGACCCAATATTTCCTCAGGCTCAGGCCTTTTAGAATGGTGAAGAGGAGTGGAGTGTGATGGTGCATACCTGTAATCCCAGCATCCAGAAGGATGAGACAAAAGGACTGCAGGTTCCAGGCTATCCTGGGTGGTGGTGATGCCCATCTCTAATCCCAGCACTCAGGAGGCAGAGGCAGGTAAAAACAAGTTGCAGGCTACCCCTGGCCACGAAGTGAGATCTTGTCACAACCCAGTCCATTCCCCAAAATAGTCCTATACAAACATATTTTGAATTAATATGTACTGAAACAAGATCTAAAACTGAAGTTAATTGAAAGTGGATAAATGAGCCAGTCAGTGATGGTGGACACCTTAATCTTAGCACTTGGGGGAGGCAGAGGCAGGTGGATCTTTGAGTTTGAAGCCAGCCTGGTCTACAGAGCAAGTTCTAGGACAGCCAGGGCAACACAGAGATGCTGTTTGGGGGGGGGGGGGGGGGGGGAGAGGAGATAAATAGGCTGAGAGTATGTGCAAAGTATTGCAAAGTATTTACTTAGCATGTGTGAAGACTTGAGTTCAGTCTCTAGTTCTACAAAGAAAATGGACAAGCAGAATAGTAAGCCCTTTGGTCTTGGAGGTTGGTCTTTGTGCTCCGTGTGTCCATGCATTTCAGGTGTGGTATGGGATCATTTACTCTTGCTTCCTTTTCCTCAGCTTTTCCTACTCTTGTCAGGAGGGAGAAACCAAGGAACTCTGGTCCTCAGGACACCACCTTAAGTCCTGCCGAGCTGTTGTCTTCTCAGAGGATGGTCAGAGTAAGTACCGGGGAAGGCAGCCAGCAGTGCGGTGGAGGGGAGGGGACAGTGAGCAATACCATAACCTGGGCTTTTCCCCCGTAGAACTTGTTACTGTCTCTAAGGACAAAGCAATTCATGTATTAGATGTCGAACAGGGACAGTTGGAAAGACGAATTTCCAAGGCTCACAGGTAAGGAAAATCAACTAGGTATATATGCAACTGGTGAGAGTTAAAGACTGAATTCTCTACTACAACAAATTGCTATTCTGTGTGTCTTCCAGTGCCCCCATTAACAGTCTGCTGCTCGTGGATGAGAATGTTCTAGTTACTGGGGATGACACAGGTGGTGTCCGGCTATGGGACCAGCGTAAAGAGGGCCCTTTAATGGATATGCGGCAGCATGAGGAGTACATCGCTGACATGGCTCTAGACCCAGCCAAAAAGCTGCTGCTAACAGCCAGGTATGACCTGAAACTTGACTCCCTGCGTATTCCCTCCCTCTGGACCTTTTGGTGAATAGGTACCCACTTTGTATTATAGTCTTCCTAAAATGGAGCGTCCCCATTCCATCTGTTTGTTCTCTGCAGTGGAGATGGCTGCCTTGGTGTCTTCAATGTCAAGAGACGGCGGTTTGAGTTACTCTCTGAGCCTCAGTCTGGCGATCTAACCTCCGTCACCCTCATGAAAGTACAGCTGGGTATGATGGGATGGGGTGCCTATGCTAGGGGGCTCATTGTGAAGCAGCTCTACCAGCATGGCTTGTCCTGTTAACCTGCAGTATGGGAAGAAGGTGGCCTGTGGATCTAGTGAAGGTACCATCTACCTCTTCAACTGGAATGGTTTTGGGGCTACAAGTGACCGCTTCGCCCTGAGAGCAGAGTCCATCGACTGCATGGTTCCGGTCACGGAGAGTCTGCTGTGCACTGGCTCCACAGACGGCATCATCAGGTAAGGAGGCCAGAGCAGCCCTCCAGCTTAGCAAGTACAAGCCAAGCTGGCCACTTCCTAACGCTCTTCTCTGCTCAGGGCCGTGAATATCCTGCCAAACCGAGTGGTAGGCACTGTGGGCCAGCATGCTGGGGAGCCTGTGGAGGCGCTAGCCCTGTCCCACTGTGGCCGCTTTTTGGCCAGTAGTGGCCATGACCAGCGCCTCAAGTTCTGGGACATGACTCAGCTGCGAACTGTGGTTGTGGATGACTATCGGCGACGCAAGAAAAAGGGAGGACCACTTCGTGCCCTAAGCAGTAAGGCCTGGAGCTCCGATGACTTCTTTGCGGGATTGAGAGAAGACGGAGAGGATGGCAAAGCACCAGAGGAGGTGGTGAAGGACAGTGATGATGACAGTGACTGAGAGCATCACGACAAGGAGCCATGTTTTCCGGGACAGAATCCCTAAAGACATTTGTTTTTAATGCTGTAGATTGAACCTCCTACCTTGCACATGATAAGCTTAGCTCCACCACTGAATTATACCTCAAGTCCCCAAACAGGAATTTTCAGTACTCTATTGTTCCATGAACTCAGGGTCCCAAGTGGGAAAGTATTTGTTCACCCTACAGTTGCAAATAAACTAACTCCCCTATGGCAAGACAACTCAAGACACATTACCAACAAGGACTTTAATATAAATAAAACCAGTATAGAAAAACAAAAACCATATTAAGTCCAAACCAGTGACAAGGGGTGGGGGGAATGGCCCTTTTGCTCAGCCAGTTCTTCAAATAAAAACAAGGATTCATAGTAACCTCTTACATGGGTATGGCGAGTATTTGTCAAGCTGGGAATTGAAGTCAAATCAGATCCCGGGCTCAGTGGGGGCGGGCAAGGTTCCTCACAACTAAAGTAGCACATAGGTGTGACAGGGTCCTGTCACAGCAGGGAAGCTGTCGCCAGGCCCCTATCTCTCTGGGATCAAGTTGTGGCTGCCCAGGCCTGCTGGGCTGGGGTTTGGCACAGGCTCTGCCTACCCATTTAGGGTGCCAGTAGAGAAAAGGGGGAGGGGTCACTGCTTAACCAGAGTACCTGCTTCAGCCCCAGGAGACCACAAGCTGGCCCAAGACTCACTCAGTGTCTCCAGCAGCTGTGCAGACACAGCATCCTTGGCCACCTCATGCCCATCCTGCCACTCAGAGGCCAGGACAACCCAAATGAGGCCACTGAAAGGCACCGGATGCCCAGGGATCACAACCTGGTACCAAAAGCGATGCCAGCCAGCAGGCCCCGTTCCTAAACACTTGGTAAGGAACACTGGACTGCCCAGCTTCATTCGTTGACACAGCAGCTGCAGAGCAGCCCGAGCCCCTTGAGACCCTAGCTTGTCCCTGGTCTGGGTTAGCTGGCTGCCATCCGGCCGGAGGAACCGCAGCGAGGGACCTGCAAGCTGCTGGCGGAAGTGCTGCTTCAGGTCTGGCTTTAGCCACTCCACAGCCACCTGTTCTCCACAGAGGCGTGACTGCCCTGCAAGAAAAAGGGCAAGAGACAAGGGCAGATCTAAATACTGGGATTGGAACCAAGCATTTAGGAGTCACCACTCCTCTTTGAGGCGACTTGCCTCAGGCCATGTTGAACGCCTCTCCACTTCCTGACGGTGAGATGACAACTTTCCTAGGCTTGGCTTTTATTTGTAAAGGCACTATGATAACACATTCCTTCTAATTGTCCCTGGGGGAAATACAGAGCAGTCAGGCTTTATTTACCTAATAGCCATCACAATAGCTAACCTTTCTGGTCAATGAAAGCTGATACCTAGATTTAGCACTGCTTAATCCTAAAGAAGCAGGCACTACTGCATAAGCAAACAGGCTCGGTTGGGCTCTTACTCAACTCCAAATTTTCCCCTGGAAATACTGAGGATTAAACAGACACAATGGGCCGGTGGTGGTGGTGGTGGTGGTGGTGGTGGTGGTGGTGGTGGTGGGGCGGTGCACTGGAAGAAGCAGAGGCAGGTGGAGCTCTGAGTTTGACACCATCCTGGTCTACAAGGCGAGTTCCAGGACAGCCAGGGCTACACAGAAAAACCTTGTCTCGAAAACCAAAAATCAAAAACAAGCAGGATACAATGGGGCTGAGACAAAGCGGTGGCGTAAACTGAAGTTGGTAGTGGATGTAGCGCACTATTGAATGGCAGCAGTTCAGGAACTCAGCTGGCGTCTTAGTACACGAATTTGGGATATGCTGCGAAGTACCCAGCCGCCCTCCCGAAGCTTCCACCCCTACCTTCTACCAGGGCCTTTTTGGCCATGGCAGCGGCTCGGTGCGTGCTGAACTTGAGCAGCGCAATCTGGGAGGGTGCAGAACCGGGGCTGGGGAGCAGCAGTATCTCCTGCAGGCAGGGCCCCAGCGGTTGCAGGGCGAGCAGTAGCGCACGGCGGGTCAAGCTCGAGGGCAGCCCGTCTACCGTCAGCTCGCACTTCTCCGTGCTTCGGCACACCAGGAGCTGGCAAGAAGGACGCAGCTGGTGGTTGTGCAGTGTAGCAATGGCGGCCTGGGCACCGCGCCTCGAGCTGTAGCGCGCATAGGCAAAGCCGCGGTTTAGACCACTAAAGGTCATCATCAGGCGGAACTCATAGAGGCGCCCCACGCGCTGAAAGAGTGGGATTAGCTGGTGTTCGTACACGTCCTGCGGCAGCCGTCCGATAAACACCTCGGACCCCGACGGTGGTGGGCTGCCCACCCAGCCTGGAGGGAGAGGATATGGAGGAGTGCTGTTGTCCACAGGAATGTTTCTATTTCTAAGCTACAGGAAAAAGCTGGGGTGTGGGGGAAGGAGGGAGACCATTTGTAAATACTGACACCCATCTGCCTCCCGGTCGTTAGCAGAGCCGGGCGACTGCACTGGCGCTGAGTGTACCTTTCTCGACGGGGAGAGTGGAAAGGAAGCCGGACAAATAGACACATCAAGTAGAGAGTACGTCCGGTAGCTGGGGTTTTCTGACCTTGGAGCCTTAGGACAGGACCTTTCCCCCAAAGAGTGGCCCAGGCTGGTGTACTGACACAGGGGCTGGGGCTACCGTACCTGGGGGCGGCCCGCCATACTTCCTTTGCCCGTTGACCTGCACCAGGCGGATGCCAGTCTCCCTTACCCACGCCTCCAGGGCTGCCTTGTTCTCTGGATTCACCCTCTCACACCATTGCTGGGGGAAAGAGGTAGGTTGGAATTGTGCATTACCGGCCCGTCCCACCTCACCAAAGGTTGGGGTTACTGTAACTGCCCTTTTGCGAGGTGGAGCCCAAGGCCTCCTTTCGTCTTCTTTTACTTACCTCACACTCTCGTTTAGACTGCATCTCTCTCTCCGAGGTCTGCCAGACCCTCTTTAGAACTTCCGTGGGCTTCTGCCTCTGGAAGATTCCCTGCCCTCCACGCCCCCTCAGGCTCTCATTGGCTCTGTGTACGACCCCGCCTCCATTGCACGTGCGCGAGCCCTTGGAAATCTCGAACTTCTCTTAGGATCGTGGGTGGGAGGAGCTCCATCACTAGAGGGGCGGGAGTCCCCGCCAGGGTGGACCCCGGGCGCAAGAACCTTGCAACAGGGCCAAGAACCTTACAGGGCGTTCTTCATTTTTTAGCAGAACCAGTGGGTTTGTGAAGGCTTCCTCCCTTTCACACTAGTCACTAAAGAGGTCTGAGTGATTCTGGGCCGGAGGAAGAAGCATCATGGACACAGACAGGCGTTAGTGTTAGTGGTAGAGACATTTATTAGACTTTTTGGCGGTAGGTTGCAGGGAGGCATCTGAATCTGACGTATGGCTCTGCAATGAAGCCATCTCAGGTCCATACAGGAGTTCAGGGGCAGAGACTTGATTAATCCACTTATACTGCTCCTTCTCATCCCCAACAAGGAAAGTGTAGTACCTGGCCATATATATATTATTTTTTTGCCAGTGATTATCAATAATGTAACAATAAAAACAAGCTTCTGTTCTGACCACTCTTCAGTCTTCTGCTGGGTCAGACACGTGCTGACTGTGTAAGTACATACACAGTTTTGTTTTACTTCAAGTAGACCTGCATCCTCTATTTGCTCAGTTCAGCAGATGGAGATGGGCTGATTTGTTCTTCTTCTGATCTCCTCCACAAGGTCTTCTCTTCTGACATCCACCTGGCCAGGAGGGAGGAAGAAGGTAAGAGCATCTTCAACTGTTCATTGAGTGCTTGCGCCTAGTTACCAGGTTTGGCTCACTGGGACGTGTACCTAAGTGGACACCCCTGGGTGGATAACGCCCCTACTAAAACATGTGCATGTGGATTCTGGAGATCTCAGATGCCATGATTACAGTTGAAGCCTAAGCCCTCAGGTTCTTTATAACTTAGTGCTGTATGAGGCTCAGGTCTCAAACAGGCCTGGGCTCCCCAGCCTTTGATGTCCCCGTGTCCTTTAGTCTCCCTGCTTGCCCCCTTACCTCTTCTCTGCTAGTCACTGAACGGAGCTTGATGACTCCATCCTTGAGCTCCTGCTCACCAATGATGGCCACCAGTGGGATGCCTGTTTCCTCGCAGTACTGCAACTGGTTCAGTAACTTTGGGTTCTTCTTGTAGAGCAGCTCGGCCTACAAATGACCAAGGAAGAAAACAAAGGCTTCTGTTGTTCTCAGGAACACACTTTGGGAGTGTGGTGGTGGGATGCCTTGTTCTCCAGCTCTGAAAAATACTTTTATTTTCATTTCTACAAATCATTAAGTCTTGTTCACAATACTTCAAAATGAGCTAGAAAGCAGAATCTCAATAACAATGTAATATGCTATTGGTATTGATAAGAATAAAAATGCTGTAAGCAGCACATAAAAATAACTGGGAAAATATAATTGACAAAGCCCCCTCATTTAAGCAATCCTTTTTATGCTCTTCTTTATATTTATTTATTTTTATTTTTTATTTTTTAAATTTATTTAATTTTATTTTATGTGTGAGGGGCATTTTAGGTGTGAGGGTGTCAGACCACCTGGAACTGCTTATGGACAGTGGTGAGCTGCCATGTGGGTGCTGGGAGTTGAACCAAGGTCCCTTGGAAGAACGGACAGCACTCTCACCACTGAGCCATCTCTCCAGCCCATATTTATTTATTTACATCCCGACTGCCGTTTTCCCTTCCCTCCTCTCCTCCCAGCCTCTATACCCCACCTTCCCCATCCACTTCTCTGTTTCTCTTCAGAAAAGGGCAAACCTCCCATGGATACCAACCAGCCCCAGCATATCAAGTTGCAGTAAGATTAGGCACCTCTTCTCCTGCTAAGGCTGGACATGGCAACCCAGTAGGAGAAAAGGGTCCCAAAGTCAGAGACAGGCCCTGTTCCCACTGTTAGGAATCTCATAGGAAGACCAAGCTATACAACTGTAACAAATGAAGTGCCTTGTTCTTTGCTCCATTCCAACAGGCAGGGGGAGAAGGCACTATGTAAACGTCTATTAGTTTGTGCCTATTACTCCCAAGTTTGCTGCCACCCTGGGGATTGCCTCCTGTACCTTGATCCCAGCATCCCATAACTCTGAGACAAGTTTCAGTCTCTCCTCCAGCAGCTTCTTCTGTGCAGATGCCACAAGCACTTGTGTCTCTGTGGTTCGTACCTTTTCCTCTGAAGCCTAGAAAGAGGCAGGTAAGAGTCAGAGCTGGCCTAAGCCATCAAGGAACAAACAGGGAAGGCTGTAGTTAGGATCTTGAGAGACTAGTCCAGTTCTATGAGCTCACCCAGGGAAGGGTACCAGCCTTCTGATATACCAGCTGGACATAAAAGTAGTTCTTAGAAGGTGTAAAAAATGAACTGACTTTTATGATTTGTCAGAGTAAATGATGGATGGAAAGCTGGCGGTGATATGGTATACACCTAAAAATTCCAGTCCTTGGGAGGTAGACACAGAAGGGTCAGGTGTTTAAGGCTAGCCTTGAATATATGAGTTTGAGGCTAGTGTGTCTCAAAAATAAAACAAAAAAAAACCAACCAAACAGAAAACAAAACAAAAACCCAAGAAAACAAATAAGGGGACTGGAGAGATGGCTCAGCAGTTAAGAACATGGACTGCTTTTCTAGGGGACTTGAGTTTGATTGCCAGCACCCACATGGCAGCTCACAGCTGTCTGTAACTCTAGTCCCAGGGGAACTAATGACCTCTTTTGGCCTGTGTGGGCACCAAGCACAGATATACATGTAGGCACAACATCCATATACATAAAAATTAATTTAAAAAAATTACAGAACAAAAAACACAACAACAAAAAAATATAAACATTCCAGGGTAGCAGTAAAGTTAAAAAATCTTTCCCTTTAGGAGGTTAGGGGCCACAAGCACATTCACAAAGGAAGTGCTTTGAGACCACCTCAAACCACCAATGGTATCTAGTCTTTACCTTCTGCTTTCCCATCAGTGAGACTAGGTCTGTGTGGGTGCAGGAACAAAGGACCCTGCTACTGCTCCTCAACTTCTGAAAAAACTATTTTTAAAGCTATTACATAAGATGCCTACTAGAATAACAAGCTCAAGTGGGAGACATGGGTGGTCTCATCCTAGGGGAGGAAAAAAAAAAGACAGGAATAGCGGGAAAGTTGCTTGAGCATTCCTGAAACAAAACACAACGAGCCTTTTAAGAGTACCAGCAACAAAGCAGGTCTTGAGGATCATGAGGAGCTTCCTTGGTGTCACTCTTGGTCCTAGGGAGTCGGAGCTCCATCTGAGAAAGCTCAGGGCCTGGGGTATGTTTTCCACTGAGATGCAGCATTAGAGTGGTTAACAGTAAGACTTAGGAGTTTTGACTCTGGATTCATACTGACTCTATTACTTACATGTTTCATGACCTTGCGCAAATTATCTCCTCTTTAGCATTTAGCTTCCTTATTTGAAAAATAAAAATAATGAAAGCTACTCTCAGTAGGTCTGTGTCAGAACTATTAGCTGAAGCATGAAACACACCAAGCACAGGGCCTGGCACATGGCAGTCAATGTTAAGTATTCTGTCTCAAGGAGGAGATGCTTCTTGGATATACCAGCCTAGATTTTTGATAGCTCTGATCCAGTGGAGAAAACTATCTTAGAAGCCAGGCCTGATGGCTCAACCTAGTCTAGCTATCCAGAGGCTGAGCCAGGATTCAAGGCCCGCTTGAGTTCAAAGTCACCCTGGGCAACTTAGTGAGACCCTGTCTCAAAATAAGTGAAAAAGAGCACAGTGGTAAGAGTGCTTGCCTAAGCCAGGAGTGGTGGCACACACTGTAATCTCAGCACTTGGACAGGCAGAGGCAGGTGGATCTCTGTGAGTTTGAGGCCAAAGTGAGTCCAGGACAGCCAAGGCTACACAGATTAAAAAAAAAAAAAAAAGAGTGCTTGATAAAAAAAGAGGGCTTTCCTAGCATGCACAAGGCCCAGGTTCAAGTTTTAGTATCATAAAATGTATATCTATCCAGAGACAAACACAAAACTGGCTCATAAAGGAGTGAGGCCTCAGAGATGCTCCCTATCCAAAGCAGCACCCTAAGAGATCAAAGGAAGTTGGATACCATCATCTGTCCTTTTGTGTTCTACGCACCCCTAGGATTTACCTCTAATCTTTGCTCTACAATGGAGAAGATCCGCTCCACTCCAATACTGAGGCCGACGCATGGCACCTTGCGTCCTTTGGGGTCAAACATGCCCACCAGCCCATCATAGCGCCCTCCGGCAGCCACACTGCCCACACCCAGGGGCTCTTCCCCAGCCTCGGTTGGTGTCTGTAGCAGCACTGCCTCATAGATGACCCCAGTATAGTAGTCCAGCCCTCGAGCAAGGCTCAGGTCAAAGGAGATCTGTGGAGGTAAGGTCAGTACATGATTAGGATCATGGATCCCAAACCACAGAGGTCAGCTGGGACATCCTCACCAACCTGACTCACCTTGTCATCAATGCCAAATAGGGTTAGATATTCAAACAGCAGCTTTAGGTCTCCCAAGCCCTCTAAGGCCTGTTTGTTTTGGGAGAGTTGAGGATCCTGGAGCAATTGATCCACCAGAGACACCCCACCTGAGGAGACAAATTTGTAGGGCAGACAGACAAGAAAACAAAACAAAAACAAAAACAAAAACAGGTCTGCTTTTTGTCTGTGCTGCAGTTACATGTACACCCGAACATTTCCCCTTCATACACAGAGACACGCGTGCCTGAGCACACACACACACACACACACGCTCTGTGATTACATGTACATATGAACACCCACCCCCACCTTTACCAACACACACACACACACATCTTTCAACTTTAGGGCTGAGGGCAGTGGCGTGGCTGCTAGGTTCTTTTCTCACCATGCTGCTGGACATAGTTTCCG